TAATACTGATAACCCCCAGTAGTCCATCTATGTACGTCAGGGAGCCCCAGTAGTCCATCTATGTACGTCAGGGAGCCCAGTAGTCCATCTATGTACGTCAGGGAGCCCCAGTAGTCCATCTATGTACGTCAGGGAGCCCCAGTAGTCCATCTATGTACGTCAAGGAGCCCAGTAGTCCATCTATGTACGTCAGGGAGCCCCAGTAGTCCATCTATGCACGTCAGGGAGCCCCAGTAGTCCATCTATGCACGTCAGGGAGCCCCAGTAGTCTATCTATGTACGTCAAGGAGCCCAGTAGTCCATCTATGCACGTCAGGGAGCCCCAGTAGTCCATCTATGCACGTCAGGGAGCCCCAGTAGTCCATCTATGCACGTCAGGGAGCACCAGTAGTCCATCTATGCACGTCAGGGAGCCCCAGTAGTCCATCTATGCACGTCAGGGAGCACCAGTAGTCCATCTATGCACGTCAGGGAGCACCAGTAGTCCATCTATGCACGTCAGGGAGCACCAGTAGTCCATCTATGCACGTCAGGGAGCCCCAGTAGTGCATCTATGCACGTCAGGGAGCACCAGTAGTCCATCTATGCACGTCAGGGAGCTCCAGTAGTCCATCTATGCACGTCAGGGAGCCCCAGTAGTCCATCTATGCACGTCAGGGAGCCCCAGTAGTCCATCTATGCACGTCAGGGAGCCCCAGTAGTCCATCTATGCACGTCAGGGAGCCCAGTAGTCCATCTATGCACGTCAGGGAGCCCCAGTAGTCCATCTATGTACGTCAGGGAGCCTCAGTAGTCCATCTATGCACGTCAGGGAGCACCAGTAGTCCATCTATGCACGTCAGGGAGCACCAGTAGTCCATCTATGCACGTCAGGGAGCCCCAGTAGTCCATCTATGCACGTCAGGGAGCCCCAGTAGTCCATCTATGCATGTCAGGGAGCCCCAGTAGTCCATCTATGCACGTCAGGGAGCCCCAGTAGTCCATCTATGCACGTCAGGGAGCCCCAGTAGTCCATCTATGCACGTCAGAGAGCCCCAGTAGTCCATCTATGCACGTCAGGGAGCCCCAGTAGTCCATCTATGCACGTCAGGGAGCCCCAGTAGTCCATCTATGCACGTCAGGGAGCCCCAGTAGTCCATCTATGCACGTCAGGGAGCACCAGTAGTCCATCTATGCACGTCAGGGAGCACCAGTAGTCCATCTATGCACGTCAGGGAGCACCAGTAGTCCATCTATGCACGTCAGGGAGCCCCAGTAGTGCATCTATGCACGTCAGGGAGCACCAGTAGTCCATCTATGCACGTCAGGGAGCACCAGTAGTCCATCTATATACGTCTGGGAGCGCCAGTTTACAATTGATACAATTGATAGAGAACAGGTACACTTGTTAGAGAAACCACGGATTCCACTGTGACATTTTCTGCGTCAGCGCCTGGAACATTGTGATCCAGAGAGGAAACGTTAGTGTTCTAGTCGCATGTTTTCTTTGAGAAACTGGACCCCATTGAGCACAATGTCCAAGAGGAACGCTAATTCAACGTTGAACGAACGCTACTCTTCCATACTGTGATATTGGGACGAAGTTTTTAAATGTAATTGCTAATATATGCTTTGTAATCTCCAGTCAACCATACTTATTATACATGAAAATTATCGATTACAAGAAATATGACTCAAGAAGAAAATACTGAAATGACCTCAAGGAGAAACAAAGTTTTTTTCTCTGAAAGACTCTGTTCTTGTCTCGAAGTTGGTTTGGGCGGATTGGTGCAGTCTGTTGACGTGCCAGTCTGTCTGTCTCTCTCTCTCTCTCTCTCTCTCTCTCTCACACACACACACACACACACACACACACACACACACACACACACACACACACACACACACACACACACACACACCTATATAAAATACAGTGCATAAACTCACAGTACAATACAGGACTTAAGACTCAGTAAGAGAGATAAGATCGAATACTGTGACATCTTTGGCTGTTCCTACAATGCTAAATGGCAATTTGATTGTGTTGTATTTTATTACTTAGCCCCAGCAACACCTGCAACACCTGCCTACCTTCCCGCACACCTGAGTCCTACATGATACAATGTACTTTATTGTGAAGATAATCTAACGTCAAGCAATAATAAATTCAAAGTAAGAGAGAACAAAGCGAGCCAGAGCCCGATGGAAATAACAAGCAGTTGAAAACGACGAGAATTTTGAATAAATTACAAGATTGAGATGGAAGACATCGTCGACGGGGAAGAAAGGTTTAAACACAGGAAAATGCCACGAATATTTTCTAATTTGATTGCGCAAGATGAAGGCAGAGAGGTGGAGGGGAGAGATTATATGCTGAACCAGCAGCACGTCTCTATTACAAGCTGGTGACATCATGAGGGCAATATACCACAGCGTCCACAGTAGTGTGATCTGTCAATCAACTGGTTTACGGATTCTGGAGCCAATTGGGCTCTATTAAGTCTGAATTTGAATCTGTATGGAGTCAGCCTCCACCACATCACTGCCTAATGCATTTGTTAACTACTCTGACACTGAAAAAGTTATTTCTAATGTGGCTCATTTGGGTACTTAGTTTTCACCTGTGTCCCCTTGTTCGTGTTCCATCAATGCTAAATAGTTTGTCTTTGTCCACCCTGACATTTCCCTGAGAATTTTGTAGATTGTGATCACCTAGTTGTGTGTGTGTGTACTCACCTAGTACACCTAGTACACTTGAGCCAGAGCTCAACCCCGCTTGCGGGGGTTGAGCTCTGGCTCTTTGGTCCTACCACTCAACTGCCAATCAACTGGTGTCCAGGTTCCTGACCCTATCGGGCTCTATCATATCTACACTTGAAACTGTGTATGAAGTCTGCCTCCACCACATCACAGCCTAATGCATTCCATTTGTCAACCACTCTGACACTTAAAAAGTGCTCTCTAATTTGTGTGTGAGTGTGTGTGTGTGTGTATACGGGACTATCTGCATACTGTGAAACCTCTTTCTAGGTGTATTTACAACAAGCATGTTTTACTCCAACATGAATATTGTATACTTACGGTGAAAAAATAATCAAACGTCCAGGTTACCATATATGACCGAGGAATATACTGTAATATATGATACGCCCTGGCTGTGTTATAGTCTTTTCACAGATAAAATATAGAAAATACTTTATTCAGATCCTCGTTTATATAAATGTTCAAATGATTCCAGTGTATCATTTGAGCTTCTCGTTTTCCAACATCCAGGCTGGAGTGCAATGTTATTTATAAAACCAATTATATTTCTGAATATCGTTGTAAACGAGTTTGCCGTGAGCTCTAACCATTTACATACGCTGATAACGAGAGCAATATGTCTATAACTGTTGTTTCATAGCATCATTTAATTTTTTTTTTTAAATGGAATAATTACTGCTCTCCAGTCCTTATAGAAATATTTACCCACATTTCATTAAATGTATAGGTGACGGTAATTTTTGTTTTGGTAGATGTTTAAGCCTCTTTTGTAGGTTACACAAAGTAGGTAGGTTTTGTAGGTTACACAAAGTAGGTAGGTTTTGTAGGTTACACAAAGTAGGTAGGTTTTGTAGGTTACACAAAGTAGGTAGGTTTTGTAGGTTACACAAAGTAGGTAGGTTTTGTAGGTTACACAAAGTAGGTAGGTTTTGTAGGTTACACAAAGTAGGTAGGTTTTGTAGGTTACACAAAGTAGGTAGGTTTTGTAGGTTACACAAAGTAGGTAGGTTTTGTAGGTTACACAAAGTAGGTAGGTTTTGTAGGTTACACAAAGTAGGTAGGTTTTGTAGGTTACACAAAGTAGGTAGGTTTTGTAGGTTACACAAAGTAGGTAGGTTTTGTAGGTTACACAAAGTAGGTAGGTTTTGTAGGTTACACAAAGTAGGTAGGTTTTGTAGGTTACACAAAGTAGGTAGGTTTTGTAGGTTACACAAAGTAGGTAGGTTTTGTAGGTTACACAAAGTAGGTAGGTTTTGTAGGTTATTTGCTCTTTTGTAGGTGTTGGGAAGATGTCTAGGCATGCTACTGAAGACGGTGATGTAACCTAATCATTTAACGTGTTAGATGCGTTTCTGTCAATTATAACTTGATTGCTCTTATTTTAAAAGAGTCCTACCGTAACTTTTGTGCTTTATTTCTTGTATTATGTAAAAAGATAAACACAAATCTGTGTCTTGATGTTTTGTGTTTCAGGTGTGTTTCAACGTCGCTTTTCTCTGACCTGATTACCATTGCTGGCTGCATGCAGCGCCCTCTCGTTAGAAATAAATTACTCCTGGTGGTTAGCGGCACTTCTCCCAGAGGTTGGACTTTATTTCTGTTGCTATTTTTGCTTGCTGTCATGCAGCTAATTATCCTCTACCTCTTTTTGTTTTCTTCCCAGCACACATTTGTGTACGTTATCCAAGATGACCTATGAGAAGATTTCCTGTGAAGATATCTTCTCTTCTACGGCTCACGATCTTTCGTTGTCTCTCATTCATAACAAGAAATGACAGTCATCAGGCACCCTATATACTAACTTGAGCTTTTCAAGAATCCTATTCCATCTCAGAATAGAATGGTTGAATACAGGATTTAATTTCTCACCTGCAATCCTGGATTGCATCTGCCATATTCACTTGTCACTAGCGGTAGATCTTCAATTATATAGTATATGTTGGTTCTGTTACCTGCTGGATAAGAAATCAGTCCTGCTTGATGGCAAGAAATTGCTCTGTTTCTGCTAGTGATACAGGAGCAGTGTAGACCTGGCCTATCAACGAGTACTGAATACCCGATGAAAGCAGAAAACGTTGCGTAAAAATACATAATGAGGCAATGAGCTCCTCAACCCCCCATCCACCACCAAATACATTGCTGTCATGCAGCTAATGCAGGCATGCAGCTTCGGTCCAGGACGGACCGAAACGTCGTCGTCCCTTCAATTTCTAGTGTGTGGTCTGGTCAACACCACCAAATACATCCATACATACATCACGGCCCAGGGACATACTACACCTGATCCTCCTCCGGCATCCCCAGCGGCCTCCGGCATCACTCACCTGCAAGAAAGAGAAAAAATAATAATATTTAATACAAAATAACTTGAATATAAGCACAATATTGTAAACGTTTCTAATCAAGATACAAATAATGAGAAGACAGTCCAAGGACACTGAATAAGGAGAGTCCAAGGACTGCTCAGAAGGGGATGTGAAGGAGCCACAGAAAGTGATATTGTACTTAAAGGCGCCATAAACCCCCAGCTGGGATCTGGGGGCCAGCCTGTGACCTTTACCTGAAGCCCTGGGAGCCCTGGGAGCCCTGGGAGCTGCCAGAGAACACCTAAGGATAGAGGAAACAGCAGGAGGCGGCCTGTTGGCCTACGTGAGTCAGCTTCTAATACAACACACCCACACAAGTGTCTAACCTTTCCTTTAAACAATCGAGCGATTATACGACTATTATCTTACCCGGTAATTCCTGCCATATATCAACAACCCAATTTATAAAGCAACATTTACTCAAGGCTTTTCTGAATTTAATCTAATCCAATTTGTATTCATTATTTCGTCTTCTATTTCGTGTCAATATATATAAAACTTAAAATAATATCCCCCTTAGGTAAACTCTCATCCATTTGTAAACTTTAATCATGTGACCCCGTACGCTTCGTCTTTCTAGATAATGTAAATTAACTTTTTGTTATAATATCTTGATAAATGATGCTTCTAGTTCCTGGGATTAGCTTTATCGTCTTTCTCTACACACATATATTCAAGTGAATATATCTTGAGGTTATCTTGAGATGATTTCGGGGCTTTAGTGTCCCCGCGGCCCGGTCCTCGACCAGGCCTCCACCCCCAGGAAGCAGCCCGTGACAGCTGACTAACTCCCAGGTACCTATTTACTGCTAGGTAACAGGGGCATTCAGGGTGAAAGAAACTTTGCCCATTTGTTTCTGCCTCGTGCGGGAATCGAACCCGCGCCACAGAATTACGAGTCCTGCACGCTATCCACCAGGCTACGAGGTCCCCTGCCATAACACGGTGTTCTAGGGACTGTGTGCCACCGGACACTTCCACCTGGAGTCTAGGGGCCACTAGATACCTCTTCCTAGGACCAGGAGAGGGCCACGAGACTATCTGGGAGCCAGGGGCCCGCAAGAGACCTATGCATGTGGATCAGAGGCCCCGAAGAGACCGCTGCCTTAGAGTCCAGAAGGACTAACATGTCTTGTGGACTAGGTAGCATGGGGGACCATGCTACCTAGGTCCACATGCCTTAGGTACGCTATCTGGGAGCCAAGGGTCCCTAGCCAGTTACCTAGATAACATACATGAATGGTGCGGAAACATCATTTGACAGTCAGCGAGGCAGCGTGTCCATCCATACTGTGTATATCGCGTGTGGGGGGAGAGGGGGTTCAACATTAAATTTAATATTAATAGATGCATGAGACATGGAAGATTTTTTTTAGAGCATTCCAATATTTTCTGCGAGCTTAACTGAGAATTTGTGTGTCCATTTTCAAGTGAATTATAGTTGTTGGGTCCATTGTTAAGGGAGACGCTGGCGGTGCCGTGTTCCTCGCCTGTCTGTCAGCGAGGTGTGGTATGTGGCTAATCTGCCACCTGGCTTTATATCCTACTGGCGACTCCTGAATACTTTATGTCCAGCTGGTGGGCCGCCCTCGGCCTCTGGCATGTCCAGCTGGTGGGCCGCCCTCAGCCTCTGGTATGTCCAGCTGGTGGGCCGCCCTCGGCCTCTGGCATGTCCAGCTGGTGGGCCACCTTCGGCCTCTGGTATGTCCAGCTGGTGGGTCACCTTCGGTCTCTGGCATGTCCAGCTGGTGGGCCACCTTCGGCCTCTGGCATGTCCAGCTGGTGGGCCACCTTCGGCCTCTGGCATGTCCAGCTGGTGGGCCGCCCTCAGCCTGTGGCATGTCCAGCTGGTGGGCCACCTTCGGCCTCTGGCATGTCCAGCTGGTGGGCTGCCCTCAGCCTGTGGCATATCACATTGTTGTGCTTGCGGGGGTTGAGCTTCGCCTCTTTGGTCCCGCCTCTCAACTATCAATCAACAGGTGTACAGGTTCCTGAACCTTCTGGGCTCTATCATATCTACATTTTAAACTGTGTATGGAGTCCTACCTCCACCACATCACTGCAAAGCATTTGTTAATTACTCTTACATTAAAAAACTATTTATAGTGTCTCTACAGCTCATTTGGGTATTCAGTTTCCACATGTATTCCCTTGTGCGTGGACCCCCTGTATTAAATAAGCTGTCAACCCATTCAATTCCTCTGAGGATTTTTATGTGTTAACCATGTCTCACCTAACTTTTCTGTCTTCCAGCGACGTGAGATTTAGTTCCCGTAGTCTCTCCTCGTAGCACATACCCCTCAGCTCGGGTACTAGTCTGGTGGTATACCTCTGAACCTTCACCAATATAGTCTTGTGCTTGACGAGATACGAACTCCATGCTGGAGCTGCATACTCCAGGATTGGTCTGACTTTTGTGGCATACTAGGTTCAGAATGATTCCTTCCACAAGTTTCAAAGTGAACCGTTCCTTGGTTCACTGGTCATCTATACAACCGGAATACCTAACCTGTGAACCAAGGAACGGACTATACCAGGCAAAACAAAACACTAGCTCATAAACAGACGAAATCTGAACGTTCGTGATGAGTGAGCAGGCCAGAGCTTGCGGGCACAGAGGAGGACCTCATCAGAAGGGTCAAGTCTAATACAAATACTGTAGAGCGCTACGGACATTGACCTCTATGATGCGTCCTAAAATATTAAATACGACTGATCTTTGTCAACACCAAACTCATCCACTAAACCTTACAAACATGTTTATGACAGAGAAAAGCAAACAACCAGACGAAGCTTAAATCATTAACCATTGAACCCCCGCTCTTGCTGGGGCCGACCACGATGGCTCAGTGGTAACAGTTTCCCCGCGCTTCGCCACCGATTTGGAGTAGGTTCGTATCCCAGCCAGAGAGGATTGATTAGGCGCCAATCCTAAACTGTCCACCCCTTTGACCCAGCATTAATTGTGCACCAGGCTGTTATAACCGATTGGCGGGTCGTGTTCCAGGGAAAACTAGCGGGTAGGGATTACCAAGAGCATGTGATGGGGTCAGGCTCTCAGCCTGATAAGAAAAGTCACAAGTCATCTCTTCCTGTACCCACCTGTGTAACGGAGACACAGGTGCACCCGTTTCCATCACCTGCCCCCACCCCCCTCTCTTTCTCCATTCTATCCCCTCCCCTATCCTCTCTCCCCACTTTGCCCACCCCGGAGAGAACACAGGACAGGAACCCAACGTCCTCATGGGATAGACCTGTTTTATACGCAATTCTGCCGCCAAGTTCCATCAAAATGAGTCTTCATTTACTTCCCTTGATGAGACATAGCCAGAGCATTAATTACACCCACGTGCCTCTGCGTACGAGGACAGGAAGAAGGGAAAGTGAACAATACAACTAAGGCAACACAAAACCTTTCAATATATATCTCAAATATTCGTAATATATTTGTTGCTAAGAAAAAATAAAAACTTCCGTCAATATAAGCTTAAGTAAATGATCAATATTACGAGCACCAGGTTCAGCCGACATTTATAACAAGGTGGCGCTTCGTGATCTCCAAATTTCAAAACAGTTCTCCCACATGAAAAAAAAAGGTCAGGGTTCGATCCCGTTGCCCTGTTCCAAAGACTTTTTCACATTATTATTACTTATATATATATATATATATATATATATATATATATATATATATATATATATATATATATATATATATATATATATATATATATATATATGTGTATATATATATATATATATATATATATATATATATATATATATATATATATATATATATATATATATATATATATGTTTCATTGAATATGACCGCATATTCTGTATTTATTATTTTCTGGTTTAGGGCTTCTATCCCTCTAACTATTTTCTTAGCATCAGGGCTTAATTGAAATAGGAGTTCTCCAAAACTCATTTTCGTACTTTTAAGGTGAAGAAAAGAAGTGATTTACTACAGAGTGTATTACACTTATTTATATAATTTGCACAACGTTTCGAACCTCCATGGTTCATTCCCAAGTGAACAGATCTTACAATACTAGTTGATTTTATACCCGCACTGGGTCAGGTGATAATACAATAAAGGTGAAAACATTGGGAGATACATAAGGGATAAATGTGAGGTGAAACATAGGGGTAACTGCAGAAGGCTTATTGGCCCATACGAGGCAGCTCCTATCTAAACACAAAGATTAATCCAGTGTAATTGGCCTATTATGTTGGACATTATCTTCTGTATTGGCATCGATATGTTCTTGTCTTGTCCTTACTCTCATGGTGGGTAGAGTAAATAGTTCCGTGATTTGGGTGTTGATGGTAGGTCGCTCTATTCTTATGTGAATTGCCTCAAGAATTTGTAGATTTCAAATTAAATTAAAAGTACGAAAATGAGTTTTGGAGAACTCCTATTTCAATTAAGCCCTGAGGCTAAGAAAATAGTTAGAGGGATAGAAGCCCTAAACCAGAAAATAATAAATACAGAATATGCGGTCATATTCAATGAAACATGTTTGAAAGAAAACCTGCTGCCAGTATACACCAATATATATATATATATATATATATATATATATATATATATATATATATATATATATATATATATATATATATATATATATATATATATATACTTTTATTTTCTTCTCCGAGGCTATGGGTCCCTACAATTGTACCAGAGGTGGTCCCCTTTTAGGTTTTACATATATAATATATATAATGTTTTTTGTGCCTATTATCCTATATAAATTGAGTAATTGGTGTCACAAGGTCTTCTGCCTTGAGACGAGGCCCGCTAGACGCTCCGGCAAGGAAACAGAATGTCAGGTGCCGATGAAGAGAAACAATTCAGAATAAAAAATCAACAGAATTCGAAATATTAAACATCAGATTTAAATCGTCATTAACCGCGTTTTCCTGTTTCATGGAGTGGAGAA